CATAATGATGTTAAGTGATAATCTAAGAAATACATTATTAGATTTCTCTAGGTCAGTTTCTATTGGCTTTCATTTCTCGTTTTTCAATCAGATCTCGTTTCTTCATTTGCTTCATTATTTTTTGGGCGCCGTATATCGCATATGAAACGTGTTGGAGCTTGCTTTAAAGTCTAAATGTCATCTTGCTCCAGGGAAGATTTGGTTTGTTTCTGGTAGGCAGCTAGGCTAGGGACAGGCCCAGATTACCTTTATCCAGTCAGGAATCGAGGTGATGTGGGGCTGGGTGTCTGTACCATGAAGGTTGCTTTATTTCCTGAAGGATGTAGTTCATTTAGGATCCCTTCCCTATAGGCTTGCCATGAAAGATGAACACCCATTCAAATTCCAATTTCAGATAAACAATAAATACTGTTTTAGTGTCAGGATGTTCCCATAATCGTGTCCTGTATTTAATTTCCTGAATCTGGCCACACTAAACTCAAAGCTCACTGTCCCAAGTTGACTGTGTCCTCCCAAATATGTGTCAGCTTGGCTGGGCCATGGTTTCCACCATTGTGGATCTCCCGTATCTCCAGAGGGGAAGACTCCCCCCAAAGCTGCTGTGCCGAGTTTGGACTTCCAGCCTCTGGAACCGTGTGAGCATAAAGTTCTGGTTTAGTTTGCAGCTCTGAGGAAAGGGCCTAGTCTGCTTTCAACATCTGCTAGGCCAGCATTCCTCAGAGACCTCCTTGAGTCTCGGCCCCAATCTTCCCTGGGTCCAGGAGGTTCTCAGCACAAGGACCCAGTGTCCGAAGGATGCACTCTGCTCCTGGCTCTTCCTTCTCGTTGGCAGTCAGGTCCCAGTCTCTCTGCTCACTTCTCTCTCCTTTTCTCTCGGAAATTTAGCCCAGACCACAGGGCCAGGACCTGAGTTTGGGTGCTGCATCCCATCCTAGTGCCCTTCCAGCTGATTGGCTGATCACATCGGATCATGTCATGCAGGATGATTACAGCACCACATAACTAACTGCCAAACCACCGAGAATGATGGCCCAGCCAAGGTGACACGTGTTTCCGGGGGGGACACATTTCAATCCATGACAGATGCCTAGTAACTTTCTTTTTGTGAGGTTCAACAAGCTGATGAGAATGTGTCTTGAAGCCAGCTGCTTCACATCCTAATTTTCTTGGTACATTTATTGCCCTTTTTGTCTCAGGCCTTATTTCGTCCACTTGTGAAATGGTGGGAGCAGCAGCGTCAGAGATGTGTGACGTCAGGGAGGATGATGCCAGTCAAGATCAGCCCAAGGCTGATCCCTGCAAGGTGCAGGCATGCACATCTCCTCTCTCCAAACTTGTTCCCGGTGCCGAGACCAGCCGTCCCTCCCACAGCACTCTTGACTTCCCTTCTGGGTTTGATAATCCTTTGGGGTGGCCACACAGAACTCATATACTATGTTGCTGTTAGTTGTGCATCAAGTCGGCTCTGACTCATAGCGACTCTGTGTGCCGTGGTACAAAGCACTGTCCGGTCCTGCGCCGGCCTCACAATCCTTGCAGCCGCTGTGTCAGTCCATCTCATTGCGTGATCTCCTTTTCCGGGGGCTGGTTCCTTCTGACAACATGACCAAAGTAGAAGAGACAAAGTCTGGCCATTCTCACTTCCAAGGAGCATTCCATCTGCACTTCCTCCAGGACAGATGTGTTCGTTCTGGCAGTCCTCGGTATTTGCATGTTCTTCACCAGCACGACAACTCAGTGGCATCACTTCTCCTGTGGTCTTCCTTATTCTTCGTCCGGCTTTCATATGAGGCTCCTGGAAATACCATGGCTTGGGTTGGGGCTGTGGTCTTCAAAGTGACACCCGTGCTCTTTGCCATTTACAGAGGTCTGTTGAGCAGACTTACATGGTGCAGTACGCCCTCTGATCCCCTGACTGCTGCTTCCACGGGCAATGATTGTGGATCCAAGCGAAATGAAATCCCTGGCAGCGTCACTCGTTTCTCCATTTATCACGATGTTGTTTGTTGGTCCAGTTGTGAGGACTTGTGTCTTCTTGATGTTGAGATGTCATCTATACTGCAGACTGTAGACTCTGATCTTCATCAGGAAGTGCTCCAAGTCCTTTGCACCTTCAGCAAGTAAGGCTGCGCCATCTGGGTGCTGCGGGCTGTTAATGAGTCTTCCTCCAGTCCCGATGCCACACTCTTCTTCCTCAAATCGTCCAGCTTTGTCTAATCCAGTCACAGACTGCACTGACGGGTCTCTCAGCTTCCTCAGCTGCTGTTGGCTCCTTTGGGCTGTCCAAGTCAGCAGCAGGCCCTCCTCTCTGCCTGTAGGTCTCCTCGTGGTCCTACCGTCGGTCTCCACCGACTCTGCCACAGGGCCCCTTCCAGGCCTGTCGCCACCGGCTTTCCTGCTGGGTCCTTTCTGGGCCTGTCACTGTCTTCAATGACCTGTGTCACAGCTCTGTTAGGAGGTGTCGTACCTCCTTTCTCTCTCGTTTTTTCTCCCTTCTGCTGCTTCCTACTTTCTGTCTGAAAACCTCTGTGGGGCTGGCTGCTTATGTACGCAGACTTCTCCTCAAGTTCAAGGCATGGTCCTCCCATCTGAGCCGTGAACTGACCGATCCCCTGTCAGTAGGCTCCACATACCTCATTAACCAAACCCTGCAAGGTGCACACCAGTCACAGGACAGGCTGCAGCCCATGGCCAGACGACAAGTACCAAACCGATTTGCTTATAGCTCACCCAGGAAACATAAGCAGCCTGACCAAAGCACTAACCCTAGAAAACCAGGGCAAAGGTCATGCCTCAGGGCTTAGGGGGGAATGATCTCAAGCTGCTTTTCCAAAGAACCAAGGCACAAGGCCACATGAAGGACCGGTTCCACCACACCTCCAGGCCTCGAAGTGCCCTTATTTTATCTGTTTGTTTGTCTCATTGTCAGATTCTCTGCACTAATTATTCTTTAGAAAAAAATTACTGTGGTGAAAATACACAGTAAACCCACACCATCTGTTTCTGCAGGTGCAGCTGAGCGACGTTGCTGGCAGTCTGTTCTGCAACTCCGTTCAGTCCCTCTTCTCAGTCCCGGTCCCAGCCCACTGCCCTGGTCACCACCTGGTCTTTGGGTTTATGTATCTTCTTAGGCTGCTTTGGCTTCGTCCGTCCTGTGGCTCCCTGTAACTGTTCTCACTCCCATTCTGTGCCGCTCACCTGCTTTTCATAAAACGTTGTCGCCGACGGCGCCGTCACACTCCCTCTGGCCGCGCTGCTCCGCTGTGTCCACTGGGTCTCTTTCCTTGCAGACTGCCTTCTGTACCTCATTCGGCCATCTTCCCTGCCTTGAAAAGCTCTGGCGGCACAGGTTAAGGTCAGTGGTTCAAACCCACCAGCCGCGCTGCAGGAGAAGGATGAGGTAGTCTGCTTCCATAAAGATCTGCAGCCTTGGAGACCCTATGGGGCAGTTCTACTCTGGAATCAACTCCACCACAGTGGGTTTCATTTGGGCTTTGTCTTGGTAAAGATTAAGGAATTCTGGTGGCGTAGTGTCTAAGGCACTTGACTGCTAACCAAAAGGCTGGCGGTTCAAACCCACCAGCCACTCCTCGGAAGGAAGGTGGGGCAATCTACTTCTGTAGTGATACTGCCTCGGAAACCCAAGGAGGGGTCACTATGAATCAGGTCTGACTCAACGGCACATAACAACAACAGTGGCTAAGGCATTTGGCTGCTAACCAAAGGGTCAGTGGTTCGAACCCACCAGTCACTCTGCCAAAGAAAGATGAGGCAGCCTGCTTCTGTAGAGATTTACAGCCTTGGAACCCCAATGGAACCCCAGTGGGGGTTGCTATGAGTTGGAAATGGCTCGACAGTGAGTGTGGGTTGGTTTGGGTGAAGAGTGCAGCCTTTGCAAGGGCAGTTCCACTCTATCTGACAAGGTTGCCATCAGCTGGAATCGACTCAGCGGTGCCGGTTTCCCCGTCTTTGACCTCCTGTTTCATTGAAGTTATGTTCTGTCATGTCCGTCCCCATGGCTTGCCATGCTTGTGGGGACCTGGCTAGGGTGTGTGTCCTCTCTCCTGGGTCCTCGGCTGCTCTCCAGCCCACAGCACTCGCCTCACCGTACCAGCACACGGCCAACCTGGCAGTAGTGACCAGCTCTCCTTTTTGCTTGGAGATGCACAGTCACCATTACAGTGCCAGGCTGAGCATTTGCTAAGTGCCAGGAACCGGGTGATTTGGACTAGAAGAACACCCCGAGCGAGCGCCGGTGCCCCAGGGCTGCCCTGCTGGAGGGGAAAGGGCGCTGAGGCCCTGACAGGCTAAGGAGCACACCTGGCCTGGCCGGTTGGTGAGTGGCAGGGCTGGACATGCAAGTCCTCTGCACACTGCCCGTGGGCCCCAGCTCATGGCCTGGACGCGGTCGTTCCAGGCTCGGGGTCAGCCTCCTGTGTGTCCCCAATCTGCAGAGGCCCTGGGCTCCGCTCCCTCTTCTTTTAGGGGGCGGGGTGCTGCAGTGGGAGCCCTCTCCAGGCTTGGCCTGTTGGTGACCTGGGGCAGGACATAGGGGGGCCTTCTGAGGAGGTGGTCCCGCAGGCCGTGGAGTGTCTCTGCTCTAGGCTGTTTCCCTCATCCCTCCTCAGGCCCTCCCAACTCCTTCAGCTGCACCTTCTGAGTTGAGCTGGGTTTGTGTGCGGGTTGGGGGACACTGCAGGACATGGACCCTCTGTCTCCACCCTGGGCAGCCGGCCACCATTTTGGCTGGGCCACACTATGTCATTTAAGGCCACGCTGTGTGTTTTACGGATGTTCTTGGTCCTGCCATCAGATATGAGTGGGTCCCTGGTGGTGTGGACGCCTGGAGGTGCTGGAGGCCTCCTGGTGGTTGTGGGTGGTGCTTTGGAGGGAGACTGGGCTCCCTAGCCTGGCCTCTCCCCAACCCAGAGCCGACTGTGGAGGATCGGGCAGCCACTATCATCCAATGTGCCTTCCGGGGGCTGCTGGCCAGGCGCGAAATGGCTCGCCGGCAGCGGGACCGGCAGGAGTATGTGGAGCAGATGGAGAAGCTGCAGCGGGAGGTGAGGCCAGGCTGCGGGCAGCCTCAGTGCAGCCTGGGGCTGGAGCCAGGGAGCAGATGGGGAAGGCAGGGTGTCAGGACAGGTGGGAGCTCAGGACGGAGAGGTCATGACCTCAGGGAGAGTGAAGTTCACGAGTGACCTCGGGACTGGGCGCATGGCTTTGGGGCTGGGGCGGCAGAGCCCTCGGGGCTGGGGGCGTGGCCTCGGCGCCAGGAGACTGGCAGAGCCCTGGGGAAGGTGCAGGCGGACCTCAGTCCGGGCCCTGGCCGGCGCCCCCAGCCCCTGCCTTCACAGGCCTTCCTGGCCATGGTGCGGCGGGAGCGAGAGGCGGCGCGTCGGCAGCGCGAGGAGGAGGAGGAGGCTCAGCGCAGGCGCCGCGAGGAGCTGCAGCGCCGCCACCGGCTGCTGGAGGCGGCCTTCGACGGCCACGTGGTCGAGATCCAGGCGGTGCTGAAGGAGGTGGGCGGGGCGGCAGGGCGAGGTGGGCGCGGGCCCAGGGTCCAGGCGGGGTGGGCGGCTCAGGTGCTGACCACCCCGGTGCCCAGGTGGAGGACCAGCTGACCGCGGAGGGCGTGGGCCACGACGAGGAGGGCCAGGCGCGGCGGCTGCAGAGGCGCGTGGCCATGGTGGACTGCCAGGACAGCAGCGGGAACACGCCGCTGTCAGAGGCGGCCGCGGGCGGGCAGCTGCAGGCCATCCAGCTGCTGGCGGAGCAGGGCGCCTGCCCCAACAGCAAGGTGCGTGCGGAGTCCTGGGCTCCGCCTCCAGGGGGCGTGGCTCTTTGCGGAGCGCGGGGCTCCTCCCGGGGGCGGGACCCTTCCTGGGGCGGGGCTCCTCCTGGGGGCGAGGCTCCGCGCAGAGCACGGGCCTCCTCCTGGGGGCGGGGCTTCTCCAAGGATGGGGCTCCTCTGGGGGCGTGGCTCCTCGCAGAGCACCGGGCTCCTCCTGGGAGCGGGGCTCCTCCCGGAGGGCCGGGGCTCTTGCTTAAGGGTCCCTCCCGCAGGGCGCTTTCGGCCGCACCCCGCTTTACCGAGCGGCCTTCGGGGGCCACCTGGCGGCCGTGGAAGTTCTGCTGAAGCTCGGAGCCGACCCCCGGATCTACGCTGACGACGGGAGCACCCCAGCGCAGGTGGCCGGGCGGCGAGGGCGGTGGGGACAGCCAGGAAGGGGGCACACCTCCCGCAGAGGCGGGGAGCCCACCTGCAAGGCCTCATAGGGTTCTTTGTCGCCCGCTCCCATCTTCAGCCTGGTTGTCACCTACTCGGAACGGAACTACTTCGGGGTACCTTGCCTCTCAGGTTTAGCTGCGCTCCTTAATCCTCCCTTTGCCTTAAGAGGTCAGACGGGGAAACTGAGGCCAGGCCTCTGGGACCGCCCGAGGGCGTGACAGGCTGCAGGCAGGGCTGTCCCAGGTGTCCAGCTGGCCCTCGCTCCCGGCGTCTTGTTTCTGGAACCCAGGGCCCCTCCCCACCTGGCCCTCGGCTTGGCCTCAGCCCTGCTCCTTGGAAGGTGAGGACGGCAGTGTGGGCCAGCTGGGGACAGGGGCCCTGGACGTGGGGGTGGGAGGCAGTCGGGGTGGGGCAGCGGTAGGGGTGCCACGTGCCGCTGTCTGCAAATGGCCTGTCAAACGCACTGACTGCCCTGTCCCCGGTGCCCCAGCGCCTGGACTCTAATGCTCAGGGCTTGCCTGGACCACGTGGGCCTGTCTGTGTGGAGGCCCAGCACCCAGTCCTTTGCTTCAGGGTCTCTGTGTGGGCCCACCTCCACAGCCTGCCCTCCGGGGGACTCACTCCTTTTCTCGGTTGGCTCTTCCAGCCCGGGACCCCCACGTGGGTCCCTGGATGGACAGGGTCCTTTGAGAGAGCGCCTCACTGCTTCTGCTGTCGCGGGTGCAAGGGACAGAGCGGCCTGGCTCCCGGAGCAGGCAGCGGGTGGGATGGTGGAAGGGGACCCCATCTCTCAGCCCCTATGCTGGGGCAGGAAGGGGGAGAGTGGAGGAGAGGGGGTGCCTCCCGGCGGGTGGCGCTTCGGGGTATTGAGAGGGCCCCAAGGCCATCTGAGGACAAGGGCGGCCAGCCCCAGGCACAGGGAGGGGGCACATTGAGGGTGGGGAGGGGCTTAGATGCCAGGGCCCAGAGCTGTGTCTCAAGACTGGGGTCACGGGCACAGGTTGCACGAGAGCATGCAAGTGGGAGCTGTAAGGTGGGGGAGCTCAGGGGCTGACGGGAGGGTGCCCAGCAAGCAGGGAGAGCAAGTGGCCCCGGGGCAGGAGGACAAAGTGTGGGGGAGAGCATTCCAGATAGCCCCCAGAGAGGGCAGAGGTCACAGCACCTGGGAGAGAGGGGAGGCGGCAACACCTCACCAGGAAGCAGAAAAGAAGGGCCCTTCCTTTCCTTGCAGCTTCGTGCAGAGAACGCTGGCCCTGGCGCAGGCAGAGGGCATTTTGAGCTGTGTGGCCACAGGCACGTTGCTTTACCTTTCTGAGTCCTGGCTGCTGCTTTGTAAAGCCAGGATGATAGCAACCGCCTTGGGGACGGGTTGTCAGAATGAGAAGGAATGACTGAAACGTTGGTTTCCACCCCGCACACTGGCTGTAAGGATGGAACAGTAAAGGGTGGGGCAGGGAGGGACAGACAGGGATGGAGCAGGCCCCAGACTTCTCATCGGCTCACCTTCACCTTCCCATGTTGTTGTTGTTGTTATGTGCCATCAAGTCAAACCCGACTCATAGCGACCCCTCCTTGGGTTTTCGAGGCAGTATCACTACGGAAGTAGGATTGCCCAACCTTCCTTCCGAGGAGTGGCTGGTGGGTTTGAACCGCCAGCCGTCTGGTTAGCAGGCAAGTGTCTTGGCCACTATGCTACCAGAGCTCCTCACCTTCCCATAGAACCACCATAACAATATGGGAAAGGTGGAAAAAATAGGAAACCCCTCACTTCCGTCACTGCTCGAACCTGTGCTACCCACCCACAGCCCCGGAGTAGGGAGGGATTTCTGAGGCCGTGTGGTAGGCAGGCTGTGGGAAGGAGGGACGAAAGGAAGGAAGGGGGGAGAGCCAGGCAGTGAGGGCCAGCCTGGGAGGGAGACTGCATCCCCCGGTGGCTGTGCGCGGGTGCTTCCTCTTCTCTGCAGGGATGGTAACGCGATAAAGGCGTAGCCCACAGACCAAACTGGAAGAAAACCCAACACCAAACTCACTGCCCTCAAGTGGATTCTGACCCCGAGCGACCCCGATGGGCTTCCGAGGTGGGATCTCCAGAGAATTAGATCGCCCCATCTTCCTTCCACAGAGCGGCTGATGGGTTACGGACAGCTGACCTTCTCATCGGCAGCCACCAGAGCTCCTTACACCCAGAAGGATGGACGAATGGTAGTGAGGTCAGCCATCTACACTGAAGTTCAAGTCAGCTGTGGAGTCCAGTGGTGCTCAGGGATTGGAGGCACCTGGTACCACTGAGAGGAGCTCTGGTGGCATGCTGGTTAAGGCACTCAGCTGCTAACCAAAAGGTCAACAGTTTGAACCCATCAGCTACTCTGTGGGAGAAACATAAGGCAGTCGGCTTGGATAAAGATCTGTAGCCTTGGAAACCCTATGGGGGAGAAAGGCCTGGCCATCTACTTCCAAAAAACGTGGCCATTGCACACCTTCCAATCAGCAGCGCCACATTGTCCAATATGGTGCGGGAAGATGAGCCCCTCAGGTTGGAAGGCACTTAGGATATGGCTGGGAAGAGCTGCCTCCTCAGAGTAGAGTCCCCTTAATGACATGGATGGAGTAAAGCTTTTGGGACCTCCCATTGGCTGATGGGGCAAGACTCGAAATGGGAAGAAACAGCTGCAAACATCCATTCATAATCGGAATGTGGAATGTACGAAATATGAATCTAGAACTAGAAGCTGTCAGAAATGAAATGGAATGCATAAAGATCAATGTCCTAGGCACTGGTGAGCTGACGGACTGGTATCAGCCATTCTGAATTGGACAATCATATGGTCTGCTAGCTGGGAATGAGAAAGTGAAGAGGAATGGCATGGCACTCAGGGTCAAAAAGAACGTTTCAAGATCTATCCCGAAATGCAGCAGTGTCAGTTACAAGATAATACCTACAAGGAAGACCAGTTAATACAACTGTTATTCAATTCTACGCACCACCCACTAATGCCAAAGATGAAGAAGTTGAAGATTTTACCAACTTTCATAGTGTGAAATCGATTGAACATGCACTCAAGATGCATTGATAATCACTGATGATTAGAATGTGTAAGCTGAAAACAAAGAAGCATTGGTAGTTGGAAAATATGGCCTTAGTGAAAGGACACCAGAGATCACATGGCAGAATCTTGCAAGACCAATGACTTACTCATCACGAATGCCTTGTTGCTGTTGTTCTGCCCGTATTGCTGTTAGTATTTCTGGCACCACTGGTCGCAGTAAACAGTTTGCCCTCATTAGACATGAGGGTTTGATGGAAGAAGTCTTCTGATTCATTATGGCTTTTTTAATTAAATTTTCTTGTGATTTGGGTAAAAGTTTACAGAGGAAATTCATCTTCTATACAGCAGTTCACATACACTTTGCTCATGATATTGACTGTAATCTCCCAAAATGCAATAGCTCTCCTCCCATATCCTCCCTATAGTTAGTTACCTCTTCCCTGTGTCCTTCCCACCCATGCACTCCTGCCCCACAAGCTGTCTCCCTGTGTATATACAGCCTTTCTATTATCTCATGATTAATCTCTGCAAGGAGTGTATCTACCTAGTGTAAATGTTCAGCTCATATGCTTGTCTTTTGTTTGGCTGGAAGCCACAGGAGTAGGTTCAATTCCAGACCTGAAAGAGAGCTAGGGGCCATAGTCTCAGGGGTTCCACCAGGCTCTATCAGAGCAAAACTGCCCCCCCCCTTTTTTTTTTATGATTTTGAGTATTGTTCCACATTGTTCTCCCTCTCTATACAGGATCTCCTACATAGATCCCCCTCTGAGTGGTTGACAGTGGTAGGTGGGCACCATCTAGTTCTTCTGGTCTCATAGTTGTATAGACTGAGCATCACATGGTATACCAGTCACTTGGACTAATTGTTTCCATGTGTCTTTGGTTTTCTTCATTTTTCTTTGTTCTGGATGAGGAGAGACCCGTCATCGCATCTAGATGGCTGCTTGCAAGCTTTTAAGATCCCAAGATCCAAGGGGACACTACATGGTTTAAAATCAGGAAAGGTGGGCATCAGGGTTGTATCCTTTCACCATAGTTATTCAATCTGTATGCTGAGCAAATAATCCAAGAAGCTGGACTACATGAAGAAGAACATGGCATCAGGACTGGAGGAAGCCTCGTTAACAGCCTGTGTGTGATATGCAGATGACACACAAGTGAAGATGACTTGAAGCACTTACTGATGAACATTAAACACCACAGTCTGCAGTATGGATTACACCTCAACGTAAAGGAAATGAAAATCCTCACAAGTAGACAAATAAACAGCATCATGATGAATGGAGATTGAAGTTCCCAGGAATTTCATGTTACTTGGATCCACAATCAACATCCAAGGAAGCAGCAGTCAAGAAATCAGACTGGACAAATCTGCTGCAAAAGACCTGTATGGACCATGAGATCCTCAGCCTGTATGACTGTGGGACCAGGAGAACCAGATGGTGCCCGGCTACCACTGTCAACCACTCGGAGGGGGATCTGTGTAGGAGATCCTGGATGGAGAGGGAGAACAATGTGGAACGAAACTCAAAATCATTCAAAACAAACAAACAAACAGTTTTGCTGGCCTGCTAGAGCCTGATGGGACCACTGAGACCATGCCCCCTAGCTGCCCTTCAGGTCTGGAATTGAACCCACTCCTGCGGCTTCCAGCCAAACAGAAGATAGGCATATGAGCTGAACATTGACATTAGGTAGATACACTCCTTGGAGAGATCAATAATGGAGAATGAAGGGCTGTGTATGCACAGGGAGATAGCTCAGGGGGCAGGAGTGCATGGAGAGAAGGACACAGGGAAGAGGTAATTATGGGGAGGAAGTGGGAGGGGAGCTGTTGCATTGTGGGAAATTGTAGTCAATGTCATGAGACAGAGTGTATGTGAACTGCTGTATGGAAAGTGAATTTGCTCTGTAAACTTCCACGCAAATTACAAAAAAAGAAAAAGACCTATATGGAGTGTAAGGAGCAAGATGTCGCTAAGGTGCACCTGAGCCCAGCTATATTTTCAGTCGCCTGCTATGCAGTAAGTAGAAAGACAGAACCGGTGCCTTGAGGTACGGTGTTAGCCAAGAATACTGAACGTACCACAGACGTGAGTGGACAAACCTGTCTTGGAAGCACAGCCAGAGCGCTCCTTGGAAGTGAGGATGATGGGCCTTCATCTCACGACCTTTGGACTTACTGTCAATATACGTTCCATGGAGAATGGAAAAAGTAGGGCAGGGGAAGGAACCAGACTACTGGGGTGCCCAAGGCCAGGGTTAGGGGTACAAGAAAGGGAAGCTGTAAAGGAGGTGCTGGTGTGAGCATTGAACAGCTGGGGGGCTTCCAGCAGAGAGGGTGGGACCGGTGTGCCTGAGGAAGAGGAAGGAGGCCTGTGTGGGGCAGCGGAGCGGGGTGGGAGTTGACCACATGTCAGCCCTGCTCCCCTGTCCCCGGGGAATTGGTTGACCTCACAGCTGGAGCTGGCCTCCTTCCCTCCCCCCTGCACACACAAATGATGCCCAAGTCAGTTCAGGACACATCCCCACACTGACCTCCACTGCCCTGCTCCGTGGATAAGCGGTCCTTCCACCCCTCACGTCTTCTCACCCAGCCCCCAGCCCCATGGTTCACGCCTTTGTACCATATTCGCGTTTCTGTCCAGGCAGCAGTCGCGTGTGTCGTCATCCCTTCATTCAGTGCCCACTTTCCACCTGACACCGCCACGCACTTGTCGCGCCGTGGCTTTTGCAGCCTGCAGACGCTCCTGCCCCAGCTGCGTCCTTCCCGCCATCCCCTAACCTGCACAGCCTGCGGGGCTTTCTGCCACGGGCCGCCCACCGCGGCCACAAACGCTCCTCAGGACCCCTGTTGGCAGGTTCCATCCGGCCGCTCGGCGCCCCCAGCCCCTTCGGGTCAGCCGTTAGGGAGCGCGCAGTCGGTGCCCTGGACAGCAGGGTCGCGCAACAGTCATGCATTAACAGCCCGAAGTGGCACGGTTGGCCCGCGGGAGGGATGGCTCACCTGCTCGGCTGCGCCGCTCTCAGTGCAGCCCTGGGGGTTCTCGCTACCCATGGGGAACCCAGGGCCATGGCGCCTGCCGGGATTGGGTCGCAGGGGTGAGAGGAGGCAGCGGACTGCGGGAGCCGGGGGCAGTGCAGCGGAAAGGAAAGCCCCGGAAGTCCCCAGAACAGCCGGCGCCGGCCCCGTCCGGGAGTGGGCGCCATAACCTCCCCGCAGGTCCGCTGAAGCGCGCGCGGCAGCCCCTGAGCGGCCGGTCGCTCGCGCCTGCAGGTGGCGTCCCTGGACGCGGTGGCGGACGTGCTGCAGTCGTGGGACCTGAGCCTCACCGAAGCCATGCTACGGAACATGGAGGCCGAGCGGCAGCGCCGCGCACAGGAGGAGCAGCGGCACAAGGAGGCCGAAGCCCAGCGGTTCGCGGGGCCCGGGGCGCGCGGGGCGGCGGCGGCGCCGCATGGCTCTCACTGCCCGCCTTCCCTCCCGCCTCAGCCTCAACTTCAGGGTGCAGCAGCTGGCCAAGGAGCGGCAGCAGTGCCACAAGGAGGTGAGGGCGACCTGTGGCGAGGGCAGAGCGATGGGCTGGGAGGGGCGCGGTGCGGGAGGCGGAGCCTGGGAGGGGCGTGATGAGGGAGGCGGGGCGTTGGAGGGGCGTGGTGCGGGAGGCGGGGCCTAGGTGCCGGAGGCAGGGCCTGGGGAGGAACGGTCTTTGGAGGGCCAGGGTGGAGGAAGGACCTCGAGCGTGGCCCGGCGGTGGAAGCCGGGCTGTGGGAGTCGGGGCTGGGATATGTGGACAGGTGTGGGGAGGCGGAGCCAGGCTGCGGGAGGCCAGGCCTGGAGAGGAGTCTGGCCTTGGAAGCAGGGGCGGGGGAGGAGCTGGTCGGTGGGAGGCGGGGCCGTGGCAGGAGTCTGGCCCCGGGAGGCGGGCTGGGGCGGAGCCTGGGTGAGCGTGGTGGGTCGGGGGAGAACCGAGAGGCGGGGCCCGGCGGGCAGGAGCGCTGGAGACCAAAAGGCTGGCTCTTCCGGAGGGCGCCGGTGCAGCCTGGTCAGCGCTTGCTTTCGTACCGGCCCGTCCCAGCTGCAGCAGGCCTATTGCGAGCTTAACCGGAGGATGACGGAGCACGACAAGTGCGAGCGGAAGCAGATGGGCAAAACCGACCTCACCCTACAGGTGGGCGACCAGCAGGCCGCGCGACCAGCGGGCCTACACTGCTGTGAGCGGACTTCCGAGCTCCCTTCTTTCTGAACACCTCTTCCGGCTCGCATCAGCCCCAGGCTTCTCCCACCCTGGCCGGGGGTTCCTGGGTGGGCCTGCTTTTCCCTCTCACCTGGCTCTCCCCAGATGTCCGCACCAGACAGGGGAAACGTTCCAAGGGGCTGATGTGTGCAGAGGGGCTGGGAGCGGTGGTGATCAGCCCATGTCTCATGCAAGGCCGTCAGGGACGCAGAGGCCCAAGTGGACAGACTGCGGCAGGAGGCCCAGAAGGCTGAGGAGATGCTGGCTATGGCCAGGCTGGCGCTGCGGGAGCAGACTCCAGAGGGTGGGCTGGGGGCTGGAGGCGGGGCCCGGGAGGGGCAGGGTCTGGCCTTCCTGCGGCTCCACCCTGACGTCCCCGCAGACGACGAAGAGGTGCCTGGGCTGAAGTGCCAGGTGGCCGAGCTGCACGACGTGCTGATGAAGGACGTGGGCGACCGTATCCGCAACGACGGGCGGTGAGTGCTCCAGGCCAGGTGTGGGGCGGGCAGGCCCAAGGAAGGAGGTGACCTAGTGGCTGCCCCCAGGTGGCCTCTTGTCATCGACCCTTCGGGCCAGGCAGCCACTTTCCTGCGCTACCAGGACACTAACTACTTGGACACGATGAACCCGGAGCACCTGTTGCCAGAGAGGATGCGGCTGGCGCTCCTAGGGGCGCTCCGGTGAGGCCGGTCAGGGTGGGCGCTCAAGGCGTGGCCAACCCTGGGCCCGCCCCTCACCACACATCCTCCAGGTACGGGAAGCCGCTGGTCTTCGACTTGGGCAAGGTGGACATGTTCCCGGTGGTGCAGCGGCAGCTGGAGGGGGTCCAGGCGGGCCTGGCGCAGGAGCTGCTGGGCCGCGCGCTGCTGGCGGACGAGCGGTACCTGTCGCTGCTGCGGCCCGCCGACGGGCCCGAGTACGGCCCCACACAGTTCCAGGCGGCGCGCCTGGTGCACTTCCGCCTCTTCTTCGTCACCAGGGTGCAGTGGCCACCGGCGGAGCAGCTGCAGGCACTACTCCCGGTGCGCGTGCTGCTGCCCGGCACAGTCGTGTAACGGCCCAAATAAAGCTTGTACCCCAGGGTATAATTACACGTGCGTAATTTGGAGCAGGGCCGTGCGCACGGCTCAGTGGCCGCTGGTTTGTGGTGCATTGGGGGTATATGTGGGCAGAATGCCTGGGCGAGCGAACAGAGCAGTGGGTGGCCTGAGCCTCCCCATGGGCCCCTCGGAAGAAAAGCCCTGGTGACCCACTTCCTCCACAATCAGCTACTGAAAGCCCATGGGAGCCCAGGTCTGCTGTGACACTGCGGGGCTCTGTGACGGGTGACCACTGGTGTCTGGGGTGTTTGCAAGCCAAGCAGTCCCCCTCTGCTGCAGGGTCAAGTGGGGTAATGGTGGGGGCTGGCCAGGGCAGTCAGGGGTCCCCAAACTCTTGCAGCCTCAGGCTTCAAGAAGCAGGATGCTTGACGTTGGGAGAGGGGTGGGCACACAGGCAGGAAGTAAAACGTAGTCACCTTTATTCTCCATAAACCACAAAATAGAGTCTTTGGTTGTACAAACATCACTAGTTACAGTCTCGCCAGAGGGGGGGCAGTTAGTCAGCGGCCAGAGGTCCCGAGAAGTCTCTTTAAAATGCTAACACCCAAGTTAAAAGACTTGGGGCAAGGGTGGTGTTGGGAGCTGGCAGGACCCCCCCACCCCAAGTCGGGGAGGCCCGCAGGAGCCTGACCCCTCTAGGAAGGCACGGGGCCCAGGCCACGGCGTCCCGGCCGCACGGGGCGCCGGCTGCTGCAGACGGTCACGTCCTCAGGGCCCGAGGCACCGGGTGAGGGCCTGCCCAGGAGCACCAGGGCCACCTCTCCATCCTCCTCCTGGGGACCTGCAGTGGGGCTGGGGTGACTGCCGGCACCTGGACCACCTCCCTGTCCCCCTCCTACAGATGCACTCGGGCAGCCCAGGAGCTCAGCCCACCCCCCACCTCTCAACTCACTGGGGCTTGGAGACTTTTCCAAAGACCTCAGCTCCTCAGCAAAATCCGGGGTCTGACGAGGAAAGAGGGGCTTGGTGAGGCCCTGGGCGTAGACTCGCCCTGCGCTGGGGCACAAGGTCCCCATGCTGAGCCCCATGGAGCCTGGGGCGGGGTTCTGGGCAAAGCCCAGAGTTGAGGAGAGGAGGTGGATGGAAGGCCCCAGTACCCAGAAACCCAGAATGCAAGGAGAGCAGGCAGGGCACGTGGCAGGGGAACAGGCAGGCCGAGGGGGCCAGGGCATGGTGCCAGGCCCGCGTGCATGGGCACAGGCGGTACCTGGATGTCATAGACAGGTCTGGAAGAAGGGAGGGCTGCGAATACCCTGTAGTCAAACTTCTTTCCAGACATGGACTTGAAAGGACAGCGTGAGGAGGGAGACCGGAAGTGAGAGAAAGAGGGGGAGCCATCCCCACCGCGAGACTGAGAGGAGGGGAGGGCAGGGGTCACCTCCCACCCCATGGTGCACGGCTCAGGCCGCGGCATGTCTCACCAGCCGTCCTGGGGAGGTGCTGGTCTGAAGGCTGAGGTCTGGAAGACAAGACGTGGGCGTCGGGGAACTCCGAGTTGGCTAGGCTCCCCCACCTTTCCCCTTTCCCGTCGACCCCTCCACAGACCTTCTAAAGGGGTGGGTGACGGGGTAGGTGCAGGAGAGGGGGCTTCGGCCAGCCGCTCCAGGGGCCCACGCTTGCCTCGGCCCTCCTGGGACTTGCTGAGCACCATCTGTGCTCGGAGGGCGTCCTGCTCCAGGGACTTCATCCTGTGGGGACCAGCACCGGGGCTGGGTGGGGCTGGAGGGCGGGGCCGGAGCAGAGCAGGGGCGGGGTCAGGGCGGATCAGGGGGCGGGGCCGGATTGGAGCCGGGCCAGGGTTCTCACCTGGCCGCCCTCCACAGCGCCCGTTTCTCGGCCTCCAGGGCCCGGCGCTCGGCAGGGGACAGAGCCCGCTCGGGCACCGGCAGCTCGGGGCTTTGTACGCGCAGACGTTCCTGGTGGCGCCGCTCAGCCTTGGCCGTCCGTACCGGGGCGCTGCCTCCGAGGGGCGGAGGGGACGCTGGGCTGAGCCTAGCAGAGTGGGCAGGGCAGGCGTCAAGGCTATGAGTGGCCGGGCACGGCCGATGTGAGGGGCTGGGGGGC